CCACCAGCCCACAGGGGATTATTGTGTCCGTCCGTCGTGCATCCAAAAAAGGAAGGTGTGGGACTGGGTGGAAAGGGGATGGTGGGGAGGGGCTGGGTGGGGAGGGAGGGGCTGGGTGGGGAGGGAGGGGAGGGACTGGGTGGGGAGGGTGGGGAGGGGCTGGGTGGGGGGTGGGAGGGGTGGGGCTGGGTGAGGAGGGAGGGGCTGGGTGGGGCTGGGTGAGGGGTGGGGCTGGGTGGGGAGGGGCTGGTCACCCCGTGGTGCCCTTATAAAACTCAACGTTTCACCTACTCACGCCGGCTTGTGCCCACCCTGACAGTCCGGAATATTGTGCAGAATGCACCACGTGGTGGTGCCGCCCGTTGTTGACCCTGGCCACTGACCGAGCAACCCAACGTTTCCTACCAGCTCCCTCCGCAGGAGAATGTGTTTAAATAGTTTATAGTTTGGTTTAGTGACAAACCCACTCACCACCACCACACTCCACCGCATCGCCCCCCACACCCACCCACCCAACCACCCACCTCCTCCACACTCCACGGCATCGCCCCCCCCCCACCCACCCACCCAACCACCCACCTCCTCCTACCTCCTTCCCCCAATTAGCGCCGCTCTCTCTCCCGACGCCGGGTAGACGCCAACGCGCTCGCTTAATTACAGACGGCAGACGCTCGACTAGGAACGATAACAAACAACAACAAACAACAACAACAAACAAGGACGGAGGGGGAATCATTTTGGGGGGGGTGGGGGAGGTGGGGGGGGGGGGGGGTACAGGCGGCTCGCGGTGATCGGAAGGTTTGCCGAGTTCAACTCCTGGTCAGGGATGCGATGGTTAACTCGCCTGGTGTGCAGGAGGTCGTGGGTTCGATCTCGACCCTGACGCTGGCGATGCCTGCTGCTGCTGCTGTATATTTGGAGTCTGCGTGTCTCTCTCTCTCATCATCATCATCATCACGGTGGCTAGGAGATGTTGACAACCTCGCCTGGTGTACAGGAGGTCGTGGATTCGATCCCGACACTGACGATGCCTGCTGCTGCTGCTGTATATTTGGAGTCTGCGTCTCTCTCTCTCTCATCATCATCATCATCACGGTGGCTAGGAGATGTTGACTACCTCGCCTGGTGTGCAGGAGGTCGTGGGATCGATCCCGACACTGACGATGCCTGCTGCTGCTGTATATTTGGAGTCTGCGTGTCTCTCTCTCATCATCATCATCATCACGGTGTCTAGGAAATGTTGACAACCTCGCCCGGTATACAGGAGGTCGTGGGTTCGATCTCGACCCTGACACTGACGATGCCTGCTGCTGCTGCTGTATATTTGGAGTCTGCGTCTCTCTCTCTCATCATCATCATCACGGTGGCTAGGAGATGTTGACTACCTCGCCTGGTGTACAGGAGGTCGTGGATTCGATCCCGACACTGACGATGCCTGCTGCTGCTGCTGTATATTTGGAGTCTGCGTGTCTCTCTCTCTCATCATCATCATCACGGTGGCTAGGAAATGTTGACAACCTCGCCTGCTATACAGGAGGTCGTGGATTCGATCCCGACACTGACGACGCCTGCTGCTGCTGCTGTATATTTGGAGTCTGCGTCTCTCTCTCATCATCATCATCACGGTGGCTAGGAGATGTTAACTACCTCGCCTGGTATACAGGAGGTCGTGGATTCGATCCCGACACTGACGATGCCTGCTGCTGCTGTATATTTGGAGTCTGCGTGTCTCTCTCTCTCATCATCATCATCACGGTGGCTAGGAAATGTTGACAACCTCGCCTGGTATACAGGAGGTCGTGGATTCGAGCTCGCCGTGGGCACGCCGACTCTGGCGTCCTGGAGCAATGCCGCAGATTCGACGTTCGCTCGGTGGCAACGGAGCAGGAGACGGAGCGGCGGAATGCAGCGCGTGATTGGGCGAACGCGGGAGACTCGCAGGGAGGGCGGGAGGTAGGGAGGGAGGGAGGGAGGGTGGGTGGAGGGAGGGAGGGAGGGTGGGAGGTAGGGAGGGTGGGTGGAGGGAGGGTGGAGGGAGGGAGGGTGGGTAGAGGGAGGGTGGGTGGAGGGAGGGAGGGTGGGTGGAGGGAGGGAGGGTGGGAGGTAGGGAGGGAGGGTGGGTGGAGGGAGGGTGGAGGGAGGGAGGGAGGGTGGGAGGGAGGGTGGGGGGAGGGAGGGAGGTAGGGAGGGTGGGGGGAGGGAGGGTGGAGGGAGGGAGGGAGGGTGGAGGGAGGGAGGGAGGGAGGGTGGAGGGAGGGAGGGTGGAGGGAGGGAGGGAGGGAGGGTGGAGGGAGGGAAGGAGGGAGGGAGGGAGGGTGGGTGGAGGGAGGGAGGGAGGGTGGAGGGAGGGAGGGAGGGTGGAGGGAGGGAGGGAGGGTGGAGGGAGGGAGGGTGGAGGGAGGGAGGGTGGGAGGGTGGAGGGAGGGAGGGTGGGAGGTAGGGAGGGAGGGAGGGAGGGTGGGTGGAGGGAGGGAGGGAGGGTGGAGGGAGGGAGGGAGGGTGGAGGGAGGGAGGGTGGAGGGAGGGAGGGTGGGAGGTAGGGAGGGAGGGAGGGTGGGTGGAGGGAGGGTGGAGGGAGGGAGGGAGGGAGTTTGTATTCGTCAGACCTGGCAGACGAACCACATGGGGGAGAGACATTTCCTGGCGGTTCGAACCCATCGGCCGCCCTCCCAGGTAATGCTTTTGGTTGTTGTTTTTGTTGTTGTTGTTTTGTTGTTTTTGTAAGCCTGTAAGTTTGTACCGCTGGGCAAAAGGCCTGCCCACCCTTGTCTCCGCGTCTTAATTGCTTTTGACTTGCGCTGAGAGACACAACACAGACCCAAAGACTCATACAGAGACCCAGAGACTCACACTGAGACCCACAGGCTCATACAGAGACCCAGAGACTCATACAGAAACCCACAGACTCATACAGAGACCCAGAAACTCATAGAGAGACCCACAGACTCATACAGAGACCTACAGACTCTTACAAAGACCCAAAGATTCACACTGAGACCCACAGACTCGCACGGACCCATACAGAGACTCAGAGACCCACAGCCTCACAAAGACCCACAGACTCACACACAGATACCCACAGACTCACAGAGACCCACAGAGACTCACACACAGAGACCCACACATCCACAGACTTACACACAGAGACCCACAGAGACCCACAGACACCCACAGGCTCACACACAGATACCCATAGAGACTCACACAGAGACCCACAAACTCACACACAGAGACCCATAGACTCACACACAGAGACCCACAGAGACCCACAGAGACTCACAGAGACCCATAAACTCACACACAGAGACCCACAGACCCACACACAGAGACCCATAGACTCACACACAGACACCCACAGACTCACACACAGAGACCCACAGAGACTCACAGAGACCCACAGAGACCCCCACAGAGACCCATAAACTCACACACAGAGACCCACAGAGACCCACAGACTCACACACAGAGACCCATAGACTCACACACATACACCCACAGACACCCACAGACACTCACAGAGAACCACGGAGACCCACAGAGACCCACAAACTCACACACAGAGACCCACAGACACCCACAGACACCCACAGACACTCACAGAGACCCACAGAGACCCACGGAGACCCACAGAGACCCACAAACTCACACACAGAGACCCACGGAGACCCACAAACTCACACACAGAGACCCACAGAGACCCACAGATACCCACAGACTCACACGCAGAGACCCATAGACTCACACACAGACACCCACAGACACTCACAGAGACCCACGGAGACCCACAGAGACCCACAGAGACCCACAAACTCACACACAGAGACCCATAGACTCACACACAGACACCCACAGACACCCACAGACACTCACAGAGAACCACGGAGACCCACGGAGACCCACAGAGACCCACAAACTCACACACAGAGACCCACAGAGACCCACAGACACCCACAGACTCACACACAGAGACCCATAGACTCACACACAGACACCCACAGAGACCCACGGAGACCCACGGAGACCCACGGAGACCCACGGAGACCCACAGACTCACACACAGAGACCCACAGAGACCCGCAGAGACACAGAGAGGCCCACAGACCCCCCACACATAGAGAGGCCCACAGACCCCCCACACACAGAGAGGCCCACAGACCCCCCACACATAGAGAGGCCCACAGACCCCCACACACAGAGAGGCCCACAGACCCCCACACACAGAGAGGCCCACAGAGACCCACAGAGACCCGCAGAGACCCAGAGAGGCCCACAGACCCCCACACACAGAGAGACCCACGGACACCCACAGAGACCCACAGAGACCCACGGAGACCCAACGAGAGACCCAGAGAGGCCCACAGACCCCCCACACACAGAGAGGCCCACAGACCCCCCACACACAGAGAGGCCCACAGACCCCCCACACACAGAGAGGCCCACAGACCCCCCACACACAGAGAGGCCCACAGACCCCCCCACACACAGAGAGGCCCACAGACCCCCCACACACAGAGAGAGACCCCCCACACACAGAGAGAGACCCCCCACACACAGAGAGGCCCACAGACCCCCCACACACAGAGAGGCCCACAGACCCCCACACACAGAGAGGCCCAGAGAGACCCACAGAGACCCACAGAGACCCATAGAGACCCACGGACACCCACAGAGACCCACAGAGACCCACAGAGACCCAACGAGAGACACAGAGAGGCCCACAGAGACCCACACACAGAGAGGCCCACAGAGACCCGCAGAGACCCACAGACACCCACAGACACTCACGGAGACCCACGGAGACCCACAGAGACCCACAGACACTCACAGAGACCCACGGAGACCCACAGAGACCCAACGAGAGACCCAGAGAGGCCCACAGACCCCCCACACACAGAGAGGCCCACAGAGACCCCCACACACAGAGAGGCCCACAGACCCCCCCACACACGGACAGGCCCACAGACCCCCCACACACGGACAGGCACCGCGCACGCCGTCACCTGTCGAAGTTGACGTCGATGGTGCCCGGTTGCTCGCGGCTGCGCACCAGCACGGGCACCTCGAGGCGCGCCAGCGCCTGCTTGTCCACGGCGCCCGCCCACTCCCCGTAGTGGCGCTGCACCGCCTCGTCCAGCGCCTGGGCCAGCTGCCGGTGAGCCGCGGCCACCTCGTCGCCCACGCCCGAGGGCGGCAGGAAGCTGGCATCGCGCAGGGCCTGACGCGGGCGCGGAGAGGGAGAGAGACGGGGAGAGAGAGACGGGGAGAGAGAGACGGGGAGAGAGAGAGACGGGGAGAGAGAGACGGGGAGAGAGAGACGGGGAGAGAGAGACGGGGAGAGAGAGACGGGGAGAGAGACGGGGAGAGAGACGGGGAGAGAGAGACGGGGAGAGAGACGGGGAGAGAGACATGGAGAGAGACGGGGAGAGAGAGACGGGGAGAGAGACGGGGAGAGAGAGACGGGGAGAGAGAGACGGGGAGAGAGAGACGGGGAGAGAGAGACGGGGAGAGAGACGGGGAGAGAGAGATGGGGAGAGAGACGGGGAGAGAGAGACGGGGAGAGAGACGGGGAGAGAGTCGGGGAGAGAGACGGGGAGAGAGACGGGGAGAGAGACGGGGAGAGAGACGGGGAGAGAGAGACGGGGAGAGAGAGACGGGGAGAGAGATGGGGAGAGAGACGGGGAGAGAGACGGAGGGAGAGACGGGGAGAGAGACGGGGAGAGAGACGGGGAGAGAGACGGGGAGAGAGACGGAGGGAGAGACGGGGAGAGAGACGGGGAGAGAGACGGGGAGAGAAACGGGTAGAGAGACGGGGAGAGAGACGGGGAGAGAGACGGGGAGAGAGAGACGGGGAGAGAGAGACGGGGAGAGAGACGGGGAGAGAGACGGGGAGAGAGACGGGGAGAGACACGGGGAGAGACACGGGGGGAGAGACGGGGAGAGAGAGACGCGCGTGAACTTAAGGTGTAGGAGCAGCAGAGTTTACATGGGACTCGTAGACTTACACAGGGACTCATAGATGTACACAGCACTCATAGACTTACACAGGGACTCATAGACTTGCACAGGGACTCGTAGACGTGCACAGGGACTCATAGACTTACACAGAGACTCGTAGACGTGCACAGGGACTCATAGACTTACACAGGGACTCATAGACTTACACAGGGACTCATAGACTTACACAGGGACTCATAGACTTACACAGGGACTCATAGACTTACACAGGGACTCATAGACTTACACAGGGACTCACAGACTTACACAGGGACTCATAGATGTACACAGCACTCATAGACTTACACAGATACTCATAGATGTACACAGGGACTCATAGACTTACACAGGGACTCATAGACTTACACAGGGACTCATAGATGTACACAGCACTCATAGACTTACACAGGGACTCATAGATGTACACAACACTCATAGACTTACACAGGGACTCATAGATGTACACAGCACTCATAGACTTACACAGGGACTCATAGACTTACACAGGGACTCGTAGATGTACACAGCACTCATAGACTTGCACAGGGACTCATAGACTTACACAAGGACTCATAGACTTACACAGGGACTCGTAGACTTACACAGGGACTCATAGATGTACACAGCACTCATAGATGTACACAGGGACTCATAGATGTACACAGCACTCATAGACTTACACAGGGACTCGTAGACTTACACAGGGACTCGTAGATGTACACAGCACTCATAGACTTGCACAGGGACTCATAGACTTACACAGGGACTCATAGACTTACACAGGGACTCGTAGACTTACACAGGGACTCATAGATGTACACAGCACTCATAGACTTACACAGGGACTCATAGACTTACACAGGGACTCATAGACTTACACAGGGGCTCATAGACTTACACAGGGACTCATAGATGTACACAGCACTCATAGACTTACACAGGGACTCATAGACTTGCACAGGGACTCATAGACTTACACAGGGACTCATAGACTTACACAGGGACTCGTAGACTTACACAGGGACTCGTAGACTTACACAGGGACTCGTAGACTTAAACAGGGACTCATAGATGTACACAGCACTCATAGACTTACACAGCGACTCATAGATGTACACAGCACTCATAGACTTACACAGGGACTCATAGACTTACACAGGGACTCATAGACTTACACAGGGACTCGTAGACTTACACAGGGACTCATAGATGTACACAGCACTCATAGACTTACACAGGGACTCATAGACTTACACAGGGACTCGTAGACTTACACAGGGACTCATAGATGTACACAGCACTCATAGACTTACACAGGGACTCATAGATGTACACAGCACTCATAGACTTACACAGGGACTCGTAGACTTACACAGGGACTCGTAGACTCACACAGGGACTCATAGATGTACACAGCACTCATAGACTTACACAGGGACTCATAGACTTACACAGGGACTCATAGATGTACACAGCACTCATAGACTTACACATGCACTCATAAGTCAGGTGTTAGTAAATCGAGGACTACCTCTTTCCCATATGGATACGAAAACCCAGTCCGGTTGTCATTCGATAACTCACACGCAGCAACAGCAACAGCCTTCATTCGCCGCTCGCATATGGCGGGTGACGTCACCGCGGCGCTTGCGCCAGGCTAGGTGCACTCTGAAGAGGCCATCGCGTGAAGTGTAGAGAGCTCGCCGCTGGCACGAGGCCACTGCGCAGACGCAGGCGTTGTGACTTTAACCGACTGATACGACTGGCAAGGTGCACCGCGCACCACCTGAGCTATCGGCATGCCAACAAAGACAAAGATCCCCCTGCCCGCCCACCCCACCCCACCCGTGTAGCCTAGGGGCAAGTGCTGCTAGCTAGCGAACGGCGCCTACGAGGAGGCCGGTGGCCAGCCCTCTTGGCGGACGAGAGCGGGAGTCGAACTCGGGTCTCGCCGCTCAACCGCACACGTTACGCCCGCCCTCGCTTTCACCGTCAATCAATTCATCTCCTGAGGACGCGACAGATTATCGATCGACCGTCATCTCCAAGCCATCGATTTCCGCGAACCTTTTAACCCCACCCCCCACCTCTCTCTCTTTCTTTCTCTCTCTTCGCCGAGCGACACAACTCCCCTCCTCCACCACCACCACCACCACAATGCCACTCCCTCCCTCCTCTGCCTATGCACGAAAGATTCCACCACCACCACCACCACCCGCCACCCGCGTAGCCTCTAACCGACTGTCGGGGACACGTGCTGGGAACTGTGGCGCACGAGGTGGTGTGGGTGGCCAGTACCACGCACACAAAGATCCCCCCGTATAGCCTGTAACAGACTGTAGGGGGCAAGTGCTGTTAGCGAGCACCTATGAAGGCCGGAACGGTACACGAGGGGGTGGGTGGCCAGCACCACGCCCGACCGCCTTTGTCTCCCTCGTGGCGATGTTTACACACCGCTACCAGGTACTCATTTGAGGCTGAGTCGACCTAGGGGAGGCCCGGGACCGGTTCAGGTAATCGTCACTGGTGTTGGCCGTGAGCGGGAATCGAACCCGGGTCGCCGGGTTCATAGCGCAGCGTAGCGCTAACCGCTACACTACCGCTCCCCACCGTACACACACACACGTACGAACATACAAACACACAAAGATCCCCCGTATAGCCTCCAACAGGCTGTAGGGGCAAGTGCTATGAGCGGGCACCTATGAAGGATGGCACGGCACACGAGGGGCTGGGGGGGCCAGCGCCACGCCTGGCCGCCTTTGTCTCCCCAGTGGCGATGATTTTTTTTGCCCACCGCACCGGGTAACTCATTTGAGGCTGAGTCGACCTAGGGGAAGGGGCCCAGGACCGGTCCACGTAATCGACACCGGTGGCGTTGGTGGGATCCTAGCTGGTGTCACTGCCTCAAGCGTAGCGCTAACCCCCTACTGCACCCCACTACCGCTCCCCCCACTGACACCACCGGTTACGGTAGCGGCGGCGGCGGTAGTGGCGGTGTAGGTGGTGGTCGCGGCGGCGGTACAAACTGTGCTTTAGTTTGATGTCGTTCACACCGCACCTACCGGTTAGCACGTGCGGCGCGAGAGAAGTTCAACGTGGTGTGTGTGTATGTACGTGGTGTGGGTGGTGGCCACGGTGGACACGGTGGCCACGGTGGTGCTATCGGCGCTGGCGGTAATACAGAAGTCACCGTGGGGTTATCATCATCATCATCATCGCATCATTACCGTAAGGTCCATTCGTAGAAAGGTGACGGGTGTGTTGGTTCGGGGGGAGGGGGGTGGTCATCAGGGCCCCCCCCCCCCCGTGTACCCCCCCCGTCCCCCCCCCCCCCCGACACAGCAGCCTCGTCGCGGTCGAGGAGTAGGGAAGGGAGGAGGAGGAGGAGGGCTCGAACGAGGGCCGTGTCAGCTGTCACCTGACGCGAGACGGCTGTTAAACATCTGCGCTGGCGAGGCTGCTCCCTCACGCTCGCTTTCGCTCCCTCCCTCTCTCCGTCTCTCTCTCTCTGTGTCTCTGTCTCTCTCTCTATGTCTCTCTGTCTCTCTCTATGTCTCTGTCTCTCTCTATGTCTCTGTCTCCCTCTCTCTGTCTCTCTCTATGTGTCTCTGTCTCTCTCTATGTCTCTCTCTCTATCTCTCTGTCTCTCTATGTCTCTGTCTTTCTCTGTCTCTCTCTATGTCTCTGTCTCTCTCTATGTCTCTCTCTGTCTCTCTCTATGTCTCGGTCTTTCTCTATGTCTCTGTCTTTCTCTGTCTCTCTGTCTCTCTCTATGTCTCTGTCTCTCTCTATGTCTCTATCTCTCTCTCTCTATGTCTCTATCTCTCTGTCTCTCTCTATGTCTCTGTCTCTCTCTATGTCTCTGTCTTTCTCTGTCTCTCTCTATGTCTCTGTCTCTCTGTCTCTCTCTATGTCTCTGTCTCTCTCTATGTCTCTGTCTCTCTCTATGTCTCTGTCTTTCTCTGTCTCTCTGTCTCTCTCTCTATGTCTCTGTCTTTCTCTCTCTGTCTCTCTCTATGTCTCTGTCTCTCTCTATGTCTCTGTCTTTCTCTGTCTCTCTGTCTCTCTCTATGTCTCTGTCTTTCTCTCTCTGTCTCTCTCTATGTCTCTGTCTCTCTCTATGTCTCTGTCTATGTCTCTGTCTTTCTCTGTCTCTCTCTATGTCTCTGTCTCTCTCTATGTCTCTGTCTTTCTCTATCTCTCTATCTCTCTGTCTCT